AAAAAAAAAAAAAAAAAAAAAAAAAAAAAAAAAAAAAAAAAAAAAAAAAAAAAAAAAAAAAAAAAAAAAAAAAAAAAAAAAAAAAAAAAACCCAAAGAATAAACCTAATTTATAGTTACAAAAAAATCATAGAGATTGGTCACTAAAGCGACATTCAATGAAGGAATTTCCTGAGACATTCAATGCTTGGTCGTTGGTTCTATCTTTAGATAATTCCCTTATCTATCTCCATCTGCTATTATAGGTACATTTGCACATAAAGCGACATTCAATGAAGGAATTGCCTGAGACAGACGATGCCATTGCACAATGGTGTAGAGATATGTTTGTGGCAAAGGTTTATATTATCCAGTCAGTCCTGTTATAGGTGGAATGCCATGGATCAATTGTCTTACCCTCTTGTTCCTTGCCTTCCAGGATGCGCTGATGGATAAGCATGTAGCAGAAGACACCTTTAGTGACCAAGAATTACAGGACCTTGGTCGGCCAATCAAGTCTCTACTGGTAAGCTCCTCCCTGCCTCCACCCACAAAATAAAGAGTTAAATTTACATAATATTTGAACCTTAAATTTGAACTAGAGAAATGTTTATAGCACTTGTTTTTTAAGTCTACACTTCTAGAAAACTATTTTGTGTTGGATTGAGGAATTTTATTGCGAAATTTAGCAACTTTTTGCTTGATTTTGTGGGTGGGTTTTGAGTGCTTTTCATGATTAGGTTTTGAGGTGTAACTTAATCAAGAGCTGTAATTTTTATTTTTTCTGTTTACTGTGAACAGGTAGTAATTTCATGGACATGTTTACTCATCTTGGGGTCCCTCAAGCTTCTTCAAGGCTCTTCCTTCTTATCCTCATGGAAAGGTCTTACTTTCTCAGCATCCTGCCTCGCCATTGTTACAGTTCTCATGCAGATCCTCATACGTTTCTCCCAATCGGAGCGGTCAACCCCTGCAAAGGTCGTCTCGGCCAAGCCTAAGAGCAGTGGTGAACCACACGACACCAGAGGGGAGTCTAAACAGAACTAGACTCTAGATATATTGTACTTTTGTCAAAAACCTTGTATTTTTTACACACGGTTACTTGTTTACATGCAGTTTAGGTTGTGTTTTAGCTACGGTATTCTATGACAAGTCTTTTTCCTTCTCAAACTAATCATTTGCCTCCACAGCATCGTGTATTTGACTGGCAAATTACCAGATTGGTGTTCGATTCTTTTGTTTTTAAAACAATTGTCTTGTTTTGAGAGTTGTATCTATTTATTTTTCCAAATTTTGTGTTTTTTTTTTCAATGAGAGACCAAAACCAGTTAAATCTACAGAACCTTCTTGTACTAGAAAACAATCTTTGGTAGATAGAAAAGGATGGTGATATTGGGGAACCAATCAATGTCACTATGTTGAAAGGAAAGAAACAAAAAGGTAAGACAAATGAAATTGACTGTGTATCTGAAGCGGTGACTCTTGTTAGTGTGGAACAGGGATGCCAACAACGAATGTTCTTTGCTGGAAGCTCATTCGAACATTAAGCCGATGGAGTTGAGAAGCAATTTTGTACAGGCAAAGAGTTGACTGATGAAACGATACATCGAGGTAGTCTTTTATATCTAACTTTCACTTGGTCTGACATTTGTTGTGCCGTTGAATCACGAGTCAATATATGTAAGATGCTTCATTTGGATGCACTTTGACAAATCTTGAGATATATTAAAGGTACATTTTTTGTACAAAAGAAGTGAAGAATGCAATCTAGTTGGATACTGTGATGTTGATGTGCAGGAGACCACGATATCCAAAGATCAACAACTGGGTATGTGTTCAAGTTTGGTTCCGGAACAATTTCTTGGTGTTAGCAGATATTGTCCGTTTTAGCCCCTTGTGTATCGTCGTTAGCCTCACGGTTTAAAAACGTGTCTACTAGGGGAGGTTTCCATACCCTTATAAGGAATACTTCGTTCCCTTCTCCAACCTATATGGGATCTCACAATTCACCTTCCTTGGGGGCCCAACGTTCTCGCTGGCACATCACTCAGTGTCTGGCTCAGATACAATTTGTAATAAATCAAGCACACCGCTAGCAGATATTGTCCGCTTTAATTTGTTATATATTGTCGTCAGCCTCACCGTTTTAAAACGCGTTTACTAGGAAGAGGTTTCCACACTTTTATAAGAATAATGTTTCGTTCCCCTATCCAACCGAATATGTCAAAATATGTGTTTTAATAATCTCTTCTTAATTTGTTTTAATAGAGAGAGGGTGAATATTTGTCACAAAAAGAATACCCAAACCAACATCAATGCCCGACCTGAGCGCCAGATCAATTAATTAATGCAAACTTAGTATGTTTAGCGTCTATTATTGATTACGATTTGCTACTTCCAAGTTCCAATTATTAATTAACTCTTAAAAAAACAATTAATTAAAATTTTGGAAAATTGTAAATTAATTCTCTCTAATATTAAAAGGAAATGGACTTGGGCTGGTAAGTTTTAGAACTAACTATTCAGCCCAATCCATAGTAGAAGAAGAAGGAGCAGCAGCAGAAGCAGCGAAGCACCGCGGCTGCCCTTCTCGTCTCTTCAGCGGAGGAAACTGTAAGCCATGGAAGACATAGAAGACCTGCTCATCGGCGGCGGCGGCGGCGGTGGAGCTCCCCCTGGTTACCGACTTCCAATATCCGCAGTCGGTGTAAAGTCGAAGAAAAAGAATAAGCTGAAACCTAATCCTGATGCTGATGATTCCAGCAGCGGGCTTTTTCCAACCCAAAATCTACTGGCACCTAAGATTCCAGGCACTCAGGTCTCTCTCTCTCTTCATATCTTCTTTTAACGCCTTGAGTGTTTTTTTGTTTTATGTTCACATTTCTCTTGCGGTACTGATAACTTTATGCGTCGATGTATTTTGGCAGACAATTTATGTTAAAACCTTTGGATGTTCTCACAACCAGGTTAGTCCTTCACACCTCGCGTATTAAATTGATTTCTTTTGTTTCCTTGGCTTAAATGAATGGCTGAGTCTTTAATCCCGTTAGAGTTTGTTTATTGTATACTTGTCCAAATAGAGGTTGATTGGTTATTAGTTTTTATCCTTGCAATTTGTTGTGACATGAAACTGGATTTTACTATTTCCACTGTGCATTCCACAATTGTTTCATCTTTTATGGCGCACAATTGTTTCATCTTTTATGGCGTTTTATCTAAGGCTTCCAGTTGTTGTAAATTGATTTTAGAGTAAAAGTTTTGAGTGCAATGTGATATATGTAAAACTAGAACTTTTTGCGAGTAGATAAAATGCGTGACACTGACACATCGTATATTAAATCTATTATTATGTTTTCTTTTCCTAATAAAGATTAGAAAAAGCTATCAATGATCCTATTTTTCAAGAGGACAAGTCCTATTTAGAGGAGAAATATAAGCAATACTACAAGCTCAATGGAATAAAGTTGGAATCGTCAAATTATATTAACTTTTTGCTCGAGTAAGAATCTTCACACACTGCGTAGATGTTCATCATAGAAAGCTCTTTGACAGCATTTGAAGTGTAAAAGATACAGCAGTGTCCAGGTCGCATTCTTCATGAGTTATCTTTCTTTTCTTTCTTTTCTTTCTTTATGGTCTGCAAAGGAAAAAAATCTTGATGTGAGATAGGTATCACAAGTTTCTCCTGTTTTGGACGAACCCAAGAAATTCTTGTCACAAAAGCACAAATATTTAATAGATGATTCATGTTCATGTTATCACTTTTATGTAGAATGCATCTGTCATGAGGGAGGAAAAATACTGATGAGGTCTTCTCTTGTATCATTGGTGATTAATTGAAAGATTGAGGTTAGTATTTTGGGGATTGGAGAAGAAACTTACCAAATAATGATTTCCAAACCTTAACAGTTGAAGTGCGTGGTTCTAGCCTCTCTCTCTTCAATGCTAGCGGAGTTTTCTCAAATGTCTCAAAGTACATGTACTTCAGCTGCTAGTTGGTCCTTTTATGGCTCCGAAGCTGAATTTACTATGGATAAATGTGGTTAAAGCTCTTATGTCGTGGTTGGGAGGAATGAGATAATTTTCGATAATAAACAACCCCCTTGGGCTGATTGTTTTTGAATATGCAAGATTAAGGGCTTCATCATGATGTTCTCTCTCCAAGTCTTTTTCTGTTTTATTTTACTAGATATATGTTTAAATTGAGATGTTTTTATTTTTCCATTTTAATTGTCTATTTATTTCCTACTTTTCTTCTCTCAATGGTGCGTTCTGTGTCACCATTGCTAAAATAAAAAATGGATAAAATTTTCATCATTGTTTTTTTTTCAATGACAGAGTGACAGCGAATACATGGCTGGTCAGCTTTCAGCATTTGGTTATTTGTTAAGTGAGAATCCTGAAGAGGCAGACTTGTGGCTCATAAATACGTATGATCTGTTCCTTCAAATTTTACTGTTTCTTATTTTGTCTTAATTTTGTAGAAATGTTCAGTGAAAATTTCTTTCTTAGTTGCCAGAAAACATAAGTTGCCTGTGAATACTTTCTAACGGTTTTTTGTGCCTCTAATGTGCCTTGTTGGCCTTAAGTCTACCATTTGTCTCTGCATCATTTATTCAAGTAAACTGTTCTCTTTCCCAGGTTGGTTATTACATCTTCTTAAGGACATTAACCTTTAACTTCCTCTAATCTACCTGGTGTCTTCTCTCATTATTGTTCTTTGATGTAGATAGCTGTGCATATATGTGCTTTGACACAGACATATATTTTTGCATAGACAGTCATGAATTTTTTTCCTTTTCTCCACTTATAAAAGAGACAATAGCCTGATAACTATTTTTTCAGTTGCACAGTTAAATCCCCTAGTCAGTCTGCTATGGACACTCTAATAACAAAATGCAAAAATGCAAAAAAGCCTCTTGTGGTAGCTGGGTGTGTACCACAAGGTAGTCGAGATTTAAAGGAGCTAGAAGGGGTCAGTATAGTAGGAGTCCAGCAGATTGACCGTGTGGTAGAAGTTGTGGAAGAGACACTGAAGGGTCATGAAGTAAGGCTATTGAATCGCAAGACACTGCCAGCGCTTGACCTTCCAAAAGTGCGAATTGTTTCCTGTTCTAGCCTTTTGAATCTTCTATTTGAGTTTGATTTAAGAAGCTTCTTTAACATATATTATCTTTGTCTTACCCTTTCGCCAACTATTAAAGAAGTTTATTTTGATTTTGAATTTTGAACAGGTGAGAAAGAACAAGTTCATCGAAATACTACCAATCAATGTTGGCTGTTTAGGTGCTTGCACTTATTGCAAGACAAAACATGCTCGTGGTCACTTGGGAAGTTACACAGTAGATAGCCTTGTAAGAACTTTAAACTAATGTATGGTTTTTGTTAAACATATGCCCCTTTTTTTCAGTTAGAAACTTAATGTTGTTCGATCTGAAGAAACATCTGCTAAAACTGTATTTGCAGGTAAATCGTGTAAGAACTGTCATCAATGAAGGAGTCCGGGAAATATGGTTGAGCAGTGAAGATACTGGGGCATATGGTACTTTACTCTACTTCCATAGAAATATATATCGTGTTGATTGAGTTATTTTATCAGAAGAGAACATTGAATCCATAGAAATATATAGAGTAGGATTTTCAATAAATGTTGATATCAATTAAGATTTATGGCCCAAAACCATCAAAATTGTGAATGAAATTATATTCTTCATCACTATGGACATCTCAATCCTTCCAATTATCATTTTTTAATGGATATGCATTATAAAAAATAGTTTAAAATTTTTTGAGGAATTAATTGCTTGCTTTTATTGTTGAGGAATATTCTCTCTTGGGGTCGAGGGGACCAATTATGGTTCTTTTTATGAAAATTAAAGTGTGCTCTCTCCCTCCCTCACTCACCTCCTTGTGGGGTTGGTGGACCAATTATGTTTCTTTCCTCCTCTCTCTTTCGGGAGACATCTCTTTCTTTATTCTTAGGTTGCTATACTTGAATCAATGATGATTTTGTAAGCTTCTTTCAATGCTGATTCTCTCCCTCTCTCCCCCAATCCACCATCTCACCCCCATCAAAAACCATGGCCAAACTCATACCACCTGTCCCTGACCATGGCAATAGACCCACCATTGTAGAAGAAAATTGTTACTATCAAAAGAAAGAAGTACTCTTAGACTTAGACAATAGATATCAAACGAATAGAGTAAAGGTCTCAGAATTTACGCAAGAAAGGCTTTCTTCATACCTCTACATTGGGAACCTTTG